TCTTAAAAAAAAAAAAAAGATAGAGGCTAGAGGTACCACTCATTTGTCATTTTATCTCCAGGTTCTAACAAAGCCAAATGGGTATAGAAGTTCAGTTTATTAATGGCTCCAGGCAACTTCCCAATAAACCCTAGAAAATGCAGAACTTGTTGGTATCAGCTAAATTGAAGAATGCTTTTTAAAACTTTGCTGTTGTATGTAGTGTATATTCTTGAAAAGTTGTCTGTTAATATGTATTTGCATTGTCAATCTGAATGCATCTTAGGGGGCCTAATAAAGTACAGTAATTTAATATAGAGAGAACTTTTCCTAAACCTGGTATTATTCCTTGATTTATTTTCTGAATCAGATAGCTTTAAGTGGAATTCTCCTGTAGTGAGAAATTCCACAAGCTCTTATTATCAGTGGCTATCCATCAAAATGGAACCAGATTTGTAAAAGGTATCACCACAAATGAACACTAAAAACTATGTCAGCCCTGTCTCCAGAAGACTTTAGAAAACCCCCCTTTTTAATGTTTTTTATTTTAATTCCAGTTAGTTAACATATAGTGTTGTTAGTTTCAGATGTACAATATAGCAGTTCAACACTTCCATACATCACCCAGTGCTCATCACATGTGCCCTCCTTAATCCCCATCACCTATTTCACCTGTCCCCTCACTCACCTCCCATCTGGTCACCATCAGTTAGTTCTCTATGGTTAAGATCTCTTTCTTGATTTGTGTCTCTCTTTCCCCCCCTTTGTTTTGTTTCTTAAATTACACATGAGATCATATGATGTTTGTCCTTCTCTGACTTATCTTGCTTAGCATTATACTCTCTAGCTGTATCCATGTCATTGCAAATGGCAAGATTTCAATCTTTTTTATGGCTGAATAATACTCTGTGTGTGTGTGTGTGTGTGTGTGTGTACACCACTTCTTTATCCATTCATCAGTAGATGGATACTTGGGCTGCTTCCGTATCTTGGCTATCGTAAATAATGCTGCTGTAAGTATAGGGGTGCATATTCCTTGTGAATTAGTGTTTTTGTATCCTTTGGGTCAAAACCCAGTAATCTGATTGCTGGATCATAAGGTAGTTCTGTTTCTAACTTTTTGAGGAACCTCCATACTATTTTCCACAGTGGCTGCACCAATTTGCATTCCCACCAACAGTGCATGAGGGTTCCTTTTTCTCCACATCCTCACCACCAACTCTTGTTTCTTATGTTGTTGATTTTAACCATTCAGACAGGTGTGAGGTGATAATGTGGTTTTGATTTGCACTTGATGGCAAGTGATGATGAACATCTTTTCATCTATCTGGTTGCCATCTGTCATCTTTGGAGAAATGTCCATGTCTTCTGCCCATTTTTTAATTGGATTATTTGTTTTTGGGGTATTGAGTTTTCTAAGTTCATTATATATTTTGGATACTAACCCTTTATCAGATACATCATTTGCAAATATCTTCTCCCATTCAATAGGTTGCCTTTCAGTTTTGCTGATTGTTTCTTTCACTGTGCAGAAGCCTTTTTTTTTTTTAAGATTTTATTTATTTATTTGACAGAGAGCACAAACAAGAGGAGTGGCAGGCAGAGGGAGCTGCAGGCAGAGGGAAAAGCAGACTCCCTGCTGAGCAGGGAGCCCAGTGAGGGGCTCGATCCCAGGGTCCTGGGATCATGACCTGAGCCGAAGGCAGACGCTTCACTGACTGAGCCACCCAGGCACCCCATGCAGAAGCCTTTTATTTTTTGATGTAGTCCCAATATCTTATTTTTGCTTTTGTTTCCCTTGCCTCAGGAGACATATCTAGAAAAAAGTTGTTACGGCCAATGTCAAAGAGGTGTTCTTTTCTAGGATTTTTATGTTTTCTTAGAAAACACTTTCAAAAGACAACCCTTTTTGTCTCTTTTGTGAAAACAATTTGCGCTTCTTTCTTGGGGATGCATTTCCTGCTGGCCTGCTGTGTTTCAGATTCTTCTGCTGCTGGCCCACACTTAAGACTTTCAGTAGGCTTTTCCAATTGTGCATGTTCTGTTATTAAACAAGAGGTACCTACCAAGCTCTGCATATTTCTTTTGATCTGCATTCTGAGATCTACCCAGAAAAGAGGCTAAAATTAAAAACAATAACAAAATCCCCCTGGACAGCTGTTCCTGTTAAACGAAATCTTTTCTTGACAAAAATCATCAGAAGTATTATAGGATGGCACAGATTCTTTTATTAGCTGCATGGGCTTCTTCCCAAAGTGGTTTTTCCCAGCGTTATCTTTCAATTGGGTATTCTGAACTTTTAAAAATGAAGGATTTTCAGTATGGCCAGGGGGCTTTATTAGAGTGGTCAGCCGAGTTTGTGATTTGAAATCTAGCAGAGTAGTTTTAGGTTAAAAACATTTCAAAACAAGTCAAGCTTATCCTCCATCCTTGGTTATGATTTGAGTCTCTGTAGATATATACTAGTTAAAGTTAGAGGTAAGAGGTCTTTTGCTGTTGTTTAACCCTGAACATTTGCTAGGCTCCTGGCATACTTGCTGTGTACTTGATTTTGCATAGAGAAAGTTGCTCGGATTCAAAAGATTCTGTAGGTTCTAGTATATATATTTCAGAAAAATCAAGTAATGGGGAAAGGAAAAATAATTTTTAGAATTCATTATTGTAATACAAGCAATTATTTTAGTATATTTCCAATTAACAATTTTTCCTATGCATTTTTTCATAGTTGTGAATAAAGTATACATAGTCATGTTACTTTTTTTATTCAGTGGTACATCTCATTTATTTTCCCACATGGCTGGTCTTCATAACTACTAGTTTTAATGACTGTGTAATAATCCAGTGTGGATGTTAGTTTACCCAGTTTTTCCCCTGTTAGGCAATGTCTAATTTTTTTCTTGTTTTTTCTTTTGTAAGTACTGTTGGCAATGAATTTTATCTTCATCCCTACCGTTTTTCCTTTTGCCAGTAATTTCCTTCATGGGTTCTCAGTATAATTACTAGGTCAAAGGGCATGAATATTTTACTGGTTGATAACTATTGCTAAAGTTCTTTCCAAGAGGGGGAATACCAATACCTGTTTGTATGTATGAGTGCTGTGCTGTCTTTATTTATACTCTAATTGCTCATATTTCTGATGACTATTTTCATCCATGTGTTCAGTTTTAAACTTTTTACTATGCCATTATCTATCCCAGGACTGTCCAATAGAATTTTCTGCAATGACAGAAGTATTATCTTCCGTGTCCAGTACCATAACCAAATGCCACATGTGGCTGTGGTTAGTGTGACTGGGGAACAGATTTTTAATGTGAAACTATTTAGCCACATGTGGCTAACGACACCATATTGGGCAGCACAGATTGAACTCATTTTGTGTTGTAAGAGCATCTGCTACTTTTCACTCTTCTCCTTGGTTGAATTTGCTCACTTGCACGCTGCTCCCCGTCTCCATCCCTGGATTTTTACCAAAATTTGGCCTTTTAGATGAGTTAGGGACAGCAGGCACACTTTGCCCACTTAATGTTTTATTTACAAACAGTGTTAGTGCACTCGGGGACCTTACCGCGTCCCTGTTATCTGAAGACTAACCCAGTTCATTCTCCCCACCTCCTTATCTTCTTATCTGTGATGTCTTCATTACTAAATAATGCCATCCTTCTTAGACCACGTTATTTCATTACCCTTTGGTTGGTTGGTTTTCTTTCTACTATTAAGAGTTTTGGCTTTCCGGTCTAATATCTGATACTAACGTGTATTCTGTTTTGCAGGGATGGTGAGAGAAGGTCAGCTAAATGGCTCCTCGGCGGCACACAGTGAAATAAGAGGTATACTATTTCCTATTCTACTGTTTGTCAGTTTTGTTGGCAGAAAATGTTTTTCCGGGATTTATTAGTACCTCGGAGAACAAGGACTCCTACTTGCTAAGGATTCTGTATTTTCCTATCGAGTCTGTCACAAGATTTCTAGTATCTGTGATGTCGTACCTCCTGAAGGGTTAAGTTTGACTTAAATTCTGCAGCTTCGGACGTACACGTGTTTCTGTGAGACTTCATTTTATTCTCTTTTCTTTCTCTCCACAGACTGTAGAACATGAGAGGGGGCTGGAGAGATCATCAGCATTAGACCAAGGTGTCAGGCCCGACTGTGGAGAGTATTTAACAAGTAAACTTATTAAGAACCCAACACTGCTCCGTGGAAGTACCAAAACCCAGAGGTTGAAGGTTGGGGGTAGAGTTGGGAGTAGGGAGGTGTTCCAGCTCAGTCCTTCATGCCCACTGGTTCTTGATCTTCTGTGGCCTCTTCCAGTTCACGAATCCCCAAGTGACAACGGGGCCCAGTGCTGCCCCCACCCCTGCGCTGGACATGCCTGTGTCCACACACCAGATCAGTGCGACACCTTCACTGACTGTGGCCCCAGCCCTGCATGAAGGACTTGGGAGCTAGACGCCGTGGGGTCACCGGGGCCCTTGTTGCAGTTTTGTACTCTATACCTGGTTTTTCAATTAAGCTTAATGGCTTTTTTAAAACATGACTTGAAGCTCTAGTTTTCTAGACCTTTTACAGTGTACAGTATTTTACATAACTGAGCTGTATTAAAAGCTTGTTCATTTACTTCCCAGGGCCCTGGCTCTACTTTTAGAGTCCCTTTAGAAAACCTGCAAAGGCACTAAATGAGCCTAGTTTTTGTAACTTAAAAGTTGTGTTCTTTCACACTGAAGTGGGTGATCTCATTCTCTGGACAGCCATTCATTATCAGTTCCTGCTTTGTTTCCCTTCTAATCCCATAAGGCCTAGAACCATAGTTAGTGTGATGTGGGATCTTAGTTTTGAATCCTCCATAAAATAACTCCCGAGACATAAAAGGCAATTTACTTATGAAATTTATTTTCTTATATAAATTATGTATTTCTCTGGGCAGACAGCCTTCACCTTATTGCACTAATAGCACATCTGTAATACCAAGCTACAGGACAAGTCTTAACAAGAGATTTGTATTCTTCAATGTAGCACTTGTCTACCAGGCACTGTAGAGAGGAGGAGGAGGAAAAGCCAGGATCCGCTCAGGTGAAGAGTGGAGTGGGGGAGAGGGGCAACTTGTATATCCTTCTGACAGTTGGTTCTCTCCCAGAAGGGGGAACATGCAAAGCTTACATCTGGATTCTGGGAGCAGGGAAGAGTTGGAAGGCTGAGAAGCCCAGTGCAACACTGCAGCTCAGCTCCCTTTATTTTTGAGGGAAGCAGGAACTCTTTTCGTTCATTTGTAACAAATCATTCTGGCCTAGCTGATGCTTTGAGGAAACAGTGGGGATGGGGTCATCATCAGAATTAGCAGCAATTAAGAATAGGCCATACACTGCCACAGTGTGGGGGGGTATCCTCCTGGCCCCAGGAACCTGAAAGCTATGTATCCAAGGGAGAAGCCAGAGCTGGCTCTGGAAGTCTCTCGACTGCTCATTGTGCTCACACATCCCTGTGACCATGTGAATTAGCAAAGCTCCGGTGTTGGATCTTCCAACTGTTGGTCAAAGCTGTAATGAGACTGAGCGTGTAGGCAGAGTGAAGGGAATGCCTGAGGAGGAGGGGAGGACTGTCAGGGAAGGGGGTGATGGGCAGTGGACTGTAACATGATTAGGCCCTCCTTGCAGGTGGAGGCTGGGCTGCCAGGGAGTGGGGCAGGGGGAGCTGCAAGCCCCTAGATCTCTCCTCACTCTGCCTCTGTACTACACTGAAGAGAAGTTGCTCACATACTCTAAAGCACATTCTTGATACAGGAAGAGGGGCTTTGGGGGGAAGCAGTGATTTGGTTTTGGGCAAGAGCCACGTTAAGCCTTCATGAGGGCAGCCACCACAGCCTTGGCGTTGAGACTGCGTAGGTCACAGTAGGTCTGGCCAGTGCCCACAAAGACGATGGGTTTGCTTGTGATGTAGGTCATAGAAATAGCAGCTCCCACCTGAAATGGAGAAAGGGGATACACAGTCACCTCAAGGCCACTTCTTTATATCCCCTCAGGAACAAGCAGCTTTGGAAGCAACAACGTATCCTTAGAGCATCAGCTCGCCCATGAAGGATGCCCCTCTCCATCTTGCTCTGTCCTGTACCATCGTATTTACCTTGTCATCAATGGTATCAAATTTGGTGAGGACAATGCCATCAATGAGCCGGGGTGTTTGAGCCATGGAATGGTCAGCCAAGGCTCTGTTGAACTTGACCTGTAAGGGAGAAACATGGTATAAGTACAAGAAGTACCCAGCTGGCCAAAGCTGAGGCTGGAAAAAGAAGGAGGCCCTAGCCCTCACCAGCTGGTCCACGGCCTCATTGCCTACTAAGGCCTCCCCCACAAACAGCACCAAGTCGGGTGTGTTGACAGTAATGAGCTTAGCCAGGGCGGTCATCAGAGGGGCATTGTCTTGCATGCGGCCAGCTGTGTCCACCAGCACCACATCAAAGCCTTGGTTACGTGCTAGAGAGAAAAAAAGTGGTCAACTCAAAACTTTCTAGACTGTCCTGCTCATCCCACCTTTCTCTCAAGAAGTGGTAGCTGGCTATGTTAAAAGCCTAGGTGTTTACTTTCTTGGGCTTCGGATCTGGTTATAAGGTAGTGCGAGCAAAAACCTATTCTGTGCTTGGCCATCAAGAACATTCAAGAAAATACGGCAGCAGGACAAAGGAGAGCAAACAGAGGTTTTCTTGGGTGGAATATATTAGTTTTGCCCGCAGTTAGCTTCTCCTCATGGCAAGTTCTCCGTCCTGACTTGCTATTGAGCAGTAAGTTGGTAGGAGGAGAACCCTGACCCTCTTCGAATCACAGGGAAAGCCCAGGAGGAAAGGGGCCCACAGCAGCCCCCCGCCTTCCTGCATGCCATACCAAAGGCAATCGCTTCCATGGCAATGCCTGCAGCATCTTTGCCGTAGCCCTTTTCAAACAACTGCACCATAGTGCGGCCGCCGTGGTTCTCGGGGGGGTGTAGGGCACTCAGGCGCCGGGTGTGTGTGCGTAGCTGCTCCACAGCCCCGGCACGAAATGTGTCGCAGGCAGCGATGAGGACACTGAAGCCATTCTCTAACAGCCAGAAGGAAATCTGTGCAAAAGCAGCAAACAAATTAATCCCTTAGAACCAGAGTCCCTAAGACATGGAGAGTGAAGAAAGGACGTCAGAGACTGGTGGGGAGCTGTACCGACCTTGGCAAGATTGGTAGACTTCCCCACTCCATTAACGCCACAGAAAGTGACCACGTAAGGGCGCTGATGACGCTGGGCATCCATAATATCCCGGAGCATGTCTACGCGACGCTGTGGCTGCAGAATCTGCACCAGGGACTCCTGTAGGGCTTGCTTTACTGTGGAAGTCACCGCTAAAAGGGGGTGGTGGATCTGTGAAACCCAAGGAATGCACTCCCAGGAACACCCAACACCTAAGGGAACTGGGATCTGGAGGATCCAAGGATCTTGTCCCAGGAATCCACACCACATGTGACAGTGTTCCAAGCACTTTACACCACACACCTAGTAGGAATGGAGATCAGTGCACTAACTTCCTGGTACACATCATGCCTTAAGCACCTTCTGGTTTAGGGATATACTTACTGCTGAATGTCCCCATCACCTTCCCTTCCAGCTTGTTGGCCACAGATTCACAGAGCTGGACTGCAATGTCTGCTGCCACATTCTTAGCTGGACAGACAGGGACAGGTGTGTGAGTGCCATGTCAACAGTAAACAACCCTATGGTACAGATGAGAACTCGAGGTGGTTCTCTCCACCACCCCTATCCCATAAACGTGAGTGCCCCTATTCCTCAGAACTTACCAATGAGATGATCACGCATCTTATCTAGCACAGACTCCATGTCTTCACGACTCAAGCTCTTGGACCCCACAAGGCCCTTCAGCATCCCAAACATGCCACCCAGAGTCCCCTTGGTAGCACTGCAGGCACAGGAGATCATAGATACATATAAAGCCAGTGGGCAGGAGTCGAGTCTCATCCGTTCTGGAGCCACCCATACCACCCAGCACCTGAAATTCCCCTACCTAGGTTTGGTGTTTTGAGCAGCCACTTCATCATCTGAGCTGCTGCAGTCCAGATCCTGAAGCTGCCCTCCAGGCCCAGTCCCCCGAATCTGGAGGGTATAGGGAAAGAAACAAAATGGGATCAGAACACTGAGGGCTGGGGGTAAAGAAGCCCAGGATTTACCCTGTCCTCATTCCTCCATCTCTGATTTGGAAAACTCCAAATGTGACCCACCCCTTCATTCATAGAAACCAAAGGTACTACCCTCCTAATCTCTACCTCCTCCCCGGTGTCTTATTAATGGTAACTCTCACTGGCCCGTTGCCTCTTACCAAGCTGATGTCCTCAGGTGGGGCAACCTCAGGGGCTCCATTGGTGGTGGGAGTGCTATAATCCAAGACTTCCTTGTTAGCACAGCCACCCAGTGCCCACACACGGGGTGCTTTTTTGCCCTTCTCCTTTGGAGCATCTGATTTCGTGGACTTGCTGCAAAGGGTTACAGCACAAAGGGTTACAGTGAAGTAGGAGAGGAAACATCCACCCAAGAGCCAGACACGAGCTCCCTTGCCCCCAACATAGCTAGATAACAGTATTTATGGTGAAAGTGAGAATGCCCTCACCTGGACTTCTCCAGACCTCTCCCATGCTTCTGTATGAACTCCTCTCGCTTCCTGCGTATTAGCTCCTCTTTGGAAAGTTCTACCCCATTCTCAGGCCCCACTGGGAGACCTGACTTTTCGGCAGGAACTGCTTTGCTGGTAGCCAAAAGGCCATCAGAACCTGTTAGGAGAAAAGTCACTGGAGAAAAACGACCAAATTCCAACAATGGGAAATAGTCTTCCAAACCCAAATTATTAAGAGGAAACGAGGAGCAAACATCTTGGGGATGACAAGGCCTGGGGATGATAGGGTGATGGGCACTGAGCAAGGGAGACAAAGCAATGACAAAGGGAAAGACGGAACAACTTCAGTCCTTACTGCCATGTTAACTTTTCATGCCCCTGTATGTCCAAGGAGTTCAAACTCACTCTCCTTCTTGGCCCCCTTTTTTTTGCTGTTCTTTGCTTTTTCCTTGGGCTTTTCACCCCGTGTCTCAATCATGGACCTCACAGGTTTCTTGGCCTTTTCTGAATCTTCAAATTTCTTCATGGTAGTGGGAGCACGGATCTTACTGCTTTCCTCTGCTTCACTAGAGAGAAGGGAATGATCAAAGTCCAGAAAAAGGGCCCTCATACCAAGAAGTCAATTAGAATTGGGCAGCAAATTCAGGAGTGTGTTTCAATACAATTTACTACCCTTGAACCACCCTCAGGAAAGAAGGGAGCTCATCAGGTCATGGAAATCGATTTTGCAGAGGGGTGGTCTCTCACCGAAGGAGCCGCAGGAAGTCATTTTGGAAATCAAAAGTGCCATTCAATAGACTTAAAGCACTTTGCTGTTGGATCTCTGTGCGGTACTTGTCCCGAAACAGCCGGTGCACATCATCTATCAATTTGTCTACATACGTCAGTGTTAGGATCTTCTGAAAACCAACCTGTTCAGGGAGAGAAACAGAACCAACAGATCTTACGAGCCAACTCAACCCAGGCCTCCTGAGACTGGCTCAGCGGCCTGGCAGGTTTCCTTGACCTGAGGGGCAGCCAAGCTCTCTGGGCTCAGGAGCATCTTCCCTTTCCCCCTCCACCCTCTGTCTTCTCAGTTACTTCATCATATACACTGGGTGCAATTAATTAGGGTTTTCTTAATAATCAGGATTATGTTGAAAGTGTAAATGCTGTCCCTCTTAAATACCCCCACTTACCACAAACACCAGCTCAAACTGGTTGTCCAGTTTATACTTGAGTGTGAGTGCCTCATGGGTGAACGAGTTGTTACCTCCCCTTTCCTGGAAAAAAAAAAAAAAGTATGTCTCAACTTCAGACTACCCAGAAAACCCAGAGTTGGGCCCTTCAAGGATTACTTCTGTGGAAAAAACACACAGTTCCCTTAAAGACAGACTTGTCCCCAGGACAAGAGGATGCTTGGACCTTGCTCTCTAGCATCCCATCAGGGAGAGGAGGAAGCACCAAGTTGGGGGAAGGTGAAAAGAGGTTAGAGGGAAGGCAAGACAGGTGGAAGCCAGAAGGGACCTAATGATACAATCAGATTTACTAGCAGCTGTACACTATTTTTAGAGGCGTTTTTCCATTATCACACCCAGCCTTCAAAACAACAGAAAATCAAGCTGCGGGGAGGCGGAGGGTAAATGGAGGGAACTATGGGAAATCTCAAGAAGCGCCGGAATTCGGCTAGAGTCCCAGAAACAGAGGGGGAGGGGGGCATCGCAAAGTTCCGGGATGGTCCGATAGGGGCGGGAGAGAGAAATGGAGTCCTGGCAACGAGTGAGTGGCCAGTTTGGGATAGGCGGAGAGGGTGGGAGGGAGGTGTGGGATCAGTTGACGAGGCTATGGACCGGATCAGGGGGCCGAGCCCAGAGTTCTGATCCCGCGGGGAGCGATACCTGCAGCAGCACAGAACGAATCAACGCATTAACGGGCCCGGTGCATGAGTCGCTCACGCCCTGGAAGCACCAGAGCACAAGCCCGCCCTTGGAGAAAATGGTGAAGAAGTCGAGCATGGCGGCAGCGGGAGAGGAGCCGGGGCAGGCGCCGGGAACTCAGGCCGCGATCGCCGCCGCTTCCTGCTGCGCCAAGCGCGGGACACGTCACACCAGCGGCTCCGGAAACCGGCTCAGCCGCGCTTCCGCTCAGAGCTGTCGTGTTCTTTCTCCGCCTCCGCCCGAGGGCGCGCAGCACTGACGTAGACGCCAGGCTCACCAATGGCGGGTGGGGGCGGGCCTGGGCGGGGCTCTCGGGGACTGCAGCCTATAGAGCTTAAGGGCAGGGCCGCTGGCCAATGGGCGCACTCGTCTGAACGGCCTGCTGCGCGGAACAGTGACGGCGGGGTGGGCATGTCGTAGGGAGGAGGTAGGGTGCGAGCCTCAAAGGGGTTGCTCGGAGAGTGGCCATGCTGCGAAGGGCGTTGCAGCTAGGCTTGGGCCGGGGCCTCTTGGGCCGGCGGCTAGGCACACACAGAGGAGGCTCCACTCTGGGTAAAGTTGAGGGCAGCGGAGGGTATCGTGGTTCTTGGGTGGCCCCAGTCTCCAGCTATGTGACCTTCAGAACTCGGGACCCGGCCCACGATGGAAAGACAGTGGGTCGGCTGGGAGAAGGGGGTAAGCTTGCCTGCCGGATCTTGTAAAGCCTGAGCAGATGTATGGATCCCAAAGATGCGCTTCTCAGGTGACAAATGCCAGATCGTTCTAAGCTTCAACTTACCGCCAGAATAGCAGAGAGCCAGCCTGATTGATTGGTTGCACAGATAGATGTGCATTAAGTCCTGCTAGCGTGCAGGATGCTGTGGCTGTTAAGGAGGAAAGAGGATAGGGTCTATGTCCTGTGGAGGTGCCTGGAGTGTAGCTGGAGAGGGAAGACTTCAATAGACCAGTTCAAGACTGGATAGAACCCAACTTGGACAAATGCTCTGCACTGCTAGTCACCGAAGCTAGTGTAATTGGAGAGGTACATGGAGCAGTTGGGAACTGAGATCAGCCTTGAAGATAATTGTTTACTGATTCAAGGACGGTGTGTCTTCCAAGTTCTGGGGAACTGAGCAAAAGTTAGGAGAAGAGAAGTATTGGTTTGGTGCAAGGAACTAGCAAAAGTCATGTAGATAGAGCATTTGTGTAGAAATAGGAAATGTAGTTTGGACAAGGAAGGTAAGCCCAGATCAAGGAGATTTTTTTTTTTTTTTGAACATTGCCGAGAAGAGTTTGGACTTTGTATTGGAGTCAGTGAAAAGACTTGGAGATTTTTGAGTTAGGTGTGAAAGACAAAAGGATTCATTTATTCAAGGCACTTACGATGTGCCAGGTTCTGTGCTAGGTTGGAGATTCATTGGTGAAGAAGGTAAGCATGGTACAGTATGAAACAATCACAGATAAACTCAAAATTGCAAATGTCTTGCATGAGGTAATGAGACAGTGTGACAGGAGATTTTGACAGTGTAGGGGGTCAGGAAAGCCTTTCCTGAGAAAATGATAACTGAACTGAAAGGGAAAGGAAGCAAGGTGTTAATGGCAAAGAAGTGGACACAGTTTCAAAACAGAGAACCCCTGTGTAGATTCCAAGTGTGGTGGGATGAAATAAAGCACCATCAAGGTGTGGAAGGGGCTGGAGTGGGGGAGGAGGGAGAGAACAAGGTAAACAGGAGCTAGACTGTGCAGTGTCTCATAGGCCGTGTTGAAGATTTTGGACTTTTATTCTTGGAGTAACGGAAAGCCACTGGAAGGTTTTAAGCAAGACAGTATGTGATTAAATTAGTGCTTAGAAAATATTCTAGCTGTGATGCAGAAGAGTTGGGCAGGCAAGAGGGGAATTAGTGGGAACAATTAGGAGGCTTTTGCATTAGTCTAGGTGAGAGCTTATGGTGGTTTGGTCTAGGGTGGTGGTAACAGAGATGGGAAAAAACAGGGGGAGGGACAGATTGGGGAGATATTTAGGAGGCAAAGCCATCGGGACTTGACAATAGATGGGACATGAATGTAGCTTTGCTGGTGGTGATGGATGGCCAGGATAAGATGCCACTCAAAGAGTATCATGCTTCAGAGGGCACTTCAGCTTGGGGTGTGCCAGAACCTATTGGTCCAGGAGCCTGGAACATCCAAGAGGAGAGGACAATGCAGTTGAATATATGAGCCTGGGGCTCAGAGGAAAGAGCAGTCTGCACAGGAGATAAACATGTGTAAGTCACCTGGCCTAGGGAGAGAGTACAGAGTGTTCATTTTAAGAAGTTGAATCTTGCATTGCTGTGCACGATGCATGAGAAGGCAAAGAGCTGAACGGCATACAGACCATATAGTGAAGCTGTGGAATACTGCTGGGTGCGAGCTGACCTTATGAGAAGGGAGGGCCACGGAGACAGCCAGCTCAGTGTCCTCTTAGCCCACCTTTTCCTGTGCCGATCCTCTAACTCCTTACCACCTGGAAAGAGAATGTATGGCCTTCTGACCTGTAATTGCATCCCACAGATCAGAATGGAAAGATGTCCGAGATTAAGAAGAAGATCCAGTCAGTCCTTCCTGGAGGGGCCTGGAATCCACCGTACGACACCAGCTACCTGCCCCCTGAACACTCAGATGTGGTGATTGTGGGGGGTGGGGTGATTGGCCTGTCCGTGGCCTATTGGCTGAAGAGGTTGGAGAAGCCACGAGGTGCCATTCGGGTGCTGGTGGTGGAACGGGACCACACGGTGAGGTCTGGGGGAGGGTGGCGGCATGAGTGGGGCACGGACTCTTACTAAGGGGCAAGCGGAGCAGAGGGGAGGAAAGACTTCAGTCTTTGGGGGTCCAAAGTCCAAAGGGACTGTACTTTGGCTCTTGTTGAGAAATAGTCCCAGGTGCTTCCTCCCTCAAATTAGAGGCTTTGGCAGTAAGGTTTTTGCTTTTAAAAGCAAATTTCACAATGTTGGATCTTCTGGGCACCCACAAGTCCAGCAAAGAGAAACTGTATTCCAGCTGTAACGAACACAAACAGCTATCTCATCCCCCCTTCGAGATTCTGTTACTTCTGAGGTTTTGCACAGTTGTTCTATTTTATTTTCTAAGATTTTATTCATTTATTTGAGAGAGAGAGAGAGCACACAAGTGGGGAGGGAGGGGCGGAGGGAAAGGGAGAAACAGACTCTCCGCAGAGCAGGGAGCCCGATGCGGGGCTCGATCCCAGGACTCTGGGATTATGACCTGAGCCAAAGGCAGACGCTTAACTGACTGAGCCACCCAGGCGCCCCTAGTTGTTCCTATTTTAACCACTGCCAGTTAACCAGGAATCTTGCTAGTTCTGTTTTCCAGTTGGGTAGATGAAATGTTAGTTTCCTGCCCTTGGACTTCCAGGCCTTTCCCATTTTGTGCCACAGTGCCTAGCCCTTTTAGATGATTGATTCTCTCTGCTCTGCACATCTGCTAAAAAGGATTTTAGGGGCGCCTGGGTGGCTCAGTCGGTTAAGCGTCTGCCTTCGGCTCAGGTCATGATCCCAGAGTCCTGGGATCAAGCCCCGCATCGGGCTCCCTGCTCCGCGGGAGGCCTGCTTCTCCCTCTCCCTCTGCCCTCCCCTCCTCGCCACTGCTTCGTGCTCGCTCTCACGTGCTCTTTGTCTCTCTTTCTCTCTCTCTCTCTCAAATAACTAACTAAAAAATCTTAAGGAAAAAAAAAAGGTTCTTAATAATAGTTGCCCTCTTTGGGTGCTGGTTGACTTGCATATGGGTTTATCTCCCTCAACTCCTGTTAGATTACAAACTTGCAAGTAGGACTCCCCTCTATTTGTAGGTGCTTTTGTTAGTGGATTCTGCCCACGTGTGACAGGATGCTGGCAGCCCTCAGCTACTTTGGTCTTTCCACAGTATTCCCAGGCCTCCACTGCGCTGTCTGTGGGCGGGATTCGTCAGCAGTTCTCGGTGCCTGAGAACATCCAGCTCTCCCTCTTTTCAGTTGAGTTTCTGCGGAACATCAATGTACGTGCAAAGGGGCTTGGGGGTTGGGGTGGTGACCTCTCCTTTAACCCAGAGAGAGGAGCCGCCCAGCCGGCCAGGGGAAGCAGGGAGCAGAAGCAGTTCGGGCAAGTAGGAGTTGGAACCTCTAGTTCTGTCCCTGGTGGTGGTACCCAGAGGAGGAGGGCTTCCCCGAGTCTCGGGAGCTGTTGGTGAGGAAGCCAGGAGAGCTCTCCCTCCCTTCTTTAAATCAACTTCTTCTAAAGAGTTGTCTTTTTTTTTTTTTTTTTCCTTCTTTTGCATATAGGAGTACCTGGCTGTAGTCGATGACCCTCCCCTGGACATCCAGTTCAACCCCTCGGGTTATCTCTTGCTGGCTTCGGAAAAGGGGGCTGCAGTCATGGAGAGCAACGTGAAGGTGCAGAGGTGGGTGCCCGGCACGACCACCCGGCTGCTCAGCTGCACACACCCGGCAGGCTCCGACACTGAGTTAGGAACTGGGGCGGGCGAGTTGATAAGACAGGTCTTGACTGTGCGGGAGCTCAGTCTGTCGGGTAACACAGACAAGACCTCCGGGACCCTGTGCTGTCACACAGACGTGGACCACACGCTGCCGCAGTGGTTCCTGAATTTGCCGGATCCTAAGAACCACCTGGAAAATCCCACACCCGATGAGCCAGAACGTGTAGGGAAGAGCCCAGGAATCTGCACACTTTTCCTGTAGGGGCCAGATAGCCATCGTTTTAGGCTTTTGGGGTCATATGGTCTCTGTGGCAGTTAGTCAACTCTGCAGTTGAAACAAAAGCAGCCATAGACAAAACATGGACAAAAATCTGAATGAATGAGTGTGACTCACGTACAAAGATGCAGGCAGCAGGCCGGTTTGGGCGGCCCCTTTCCTGAGTGAGTCTCATGGTCGGACAAGAGTGCATGTGTTTAACGAATAGACTTGCAAGGGACATCAGGTAATGTCCCAGATGCAGCACTTACTCACGTAGCCAGCCACCCAATCCTCCCCATTTTACATGTGGGTAAACTGAGGCACGAGGCGCTAGTCAGTGGTGGTGCTGGGATTCAAACCAGGCAGTCTGGCCTGCCAGTGTGTTCTTTTAGGATCTGTGTTGCTGTCTTTGGGGGACAGTGTCCCATAGGAGATTGTGCTGGTGGACAGGGCTGTGCTAGAAAGTGGACAGGAAGGCCCTTCTAGGCAGAAGGGAAGGGAACAAGGGGAGGGAACCAAGGGACCTGCTCTGTTGTGAAAGGACAGGGAATAGTTAGGGGATGACAGGGAGTTTAGTGTGGCCAAGGAGATACCGGGGTGTAGGAAAGGAAAGCGGGGTCGGGTGCTGAAGAGCCATGACTAGGAGGCTTGGTCTTGACCCGCTTAGCAAGGAGGAAAACTTGGGGAGTTTGGGGCAGAGATGTGACACAAATGAGGCAGGATCCCCACTTGTGGAGTTGGGGTCCCTACTTCCTCTCTGCAACCCCCGCCCGACACACCTGCACACAGTTGTGCATTTCTCTCAGGCAGGAAGGAGCCAAAGTCTGTCTGATGTCTCCTGAGCAGCTTCGGAACAAATTTCCCTGGATAAACACAGAGGGTGTGGCGTTGGCATCTTACGGTGAGGCCTGCTTGCAGAGGGGTTCAGGGGTCGAGGGGTGCCTCGGGTTGGGAGTCTCAGCACCTTCTAGCCATGTCAAGAAGCAGTGCTTCCCCCTGGCCGGCAGAGGCCCCCCCCCCCCCGGGCCATGCTCGCTCTCTGTCCTTCCACAGGATTTGCCTCTGGTACACTTGGGCACCATGACCTTCCCTGGCTTGTGAGCCCTAAAGAGGAGTCAGGGGCATGGGAAATCCAGTAGGAGAGGAGGGTCCTAATCCCGCCTCATGAGTCCTCTTGCTGATCACAGGGATGGAGTACGAAGGTTGGTTTGACCCCTGGTGTCTGCTCCAGGGGCTTCGGCGGAAGGTCCAGTCCATGGGGGTCCTCTTCTGCCACGGAGAGGTGACACGTGAGTCTGAGGTCCCATGCTTCTTCCCTCTGCCAGCCAGGACACAGGCGTGGATGGGGTCTTACCTTCACTCACGGGCTAAGCAAGAGTTGGTAGGAAAGGGGGTTCTCCCTGAGGGCTGGCCCTGGCCATTCTGACTCCAGCTCCTAACTCAGCTTCTCTGCATGACTTACGACGTGCTTGAAGATCTCGGCACGCTCCTGATCGGTGTGCGGCCAAGTTCGTCCTGGTTACCCTATCTCTGTGGGAAAGCCCCCGCCTTCCAGCTCGCTTTCCTCGTGAAACCCATGGAATCCCAATCTTGCCCTCTTCAGGCCTCAGGAGTTCTTTTTTTTTTTTCCCCCCATGCAGGTTTTGTCTCTTCGTCTAGCCACACGGAGACCACAAGTGGGGAAGAGGTGACTTTGAAAAGGATCCATGAAGTCCATGTAAGTTCCCAGCCTATGCATCTTCCTTACCAAAGCGGAGGGATAAGACCGGTAACAACTGTCATCTTGATCTTTTTCTGCCCACTTCCAGTCTGGGTAAACTAAGGCAGGAAGAAATGTACCTCTCATGGTGCCCAGTGTGTGGGCCAGGCCCTCCCTCCCCTCCCCCTTTGGTGCCTGCAGGTGAAGATAGACCGCAGCCTGGAGTACCAGCCCGTGGAATGTGCCCTCGTGATCAACGCGGCGGGGGCCTGGTCTGGCCAGATCGCGGAGCTGGCTGGTGTCGGGAAGGGGCCGCCTGGCACCCTGCAGGGCACCAAGCTACCCGTGGAGCGGAGGAAAAGGTAACTCCCCTCGGGGCGGCTGGGAGGTTGGGGAGGCGGACAGAAACGGTGTAAGAGTTTGTTAAATGCGGTCGGGAGCGGCGGGGGCGTGCTCTTCCCACCGTCTTCTAACCCGCCGGTCGTGGCAGGTATGTGTACCTGTGGCACTGCCCCCAGGGACCGGGCCTGGAGACCCCATTCGTCGTAGATGCCAGTGGAGCCTATTTCCGCCGAGAAGGACTAGGCAACAACTATCTGGGCGGCTGTAGCCCCACTGAGGTAGGCTGGGCAGGGGTGGGGTGCTGGGCAGGAGACGCAGGCCAACTGTCATGAAAGAGTCAGGCTTTGGGGCACCTGCGGGGCTCAGTCAGTTAAGCCTTTGCCTTCAGCTCAGGTCAGGACCCCAGGGTCGTGAGCTCAAGCCCCGTGTCGGGCTTCCTGCTCGGGGAGGAGTCTGCTTCTCCCTCTCCCCCCTGCTTGTTCTCTCTCACTCGCTCCCTCTCTCTCTCAAATAAATAATAAATAAAATCTTTTAAAAAGAGAAAAAGAAAAAGAGTCAGGCTCTTTGGAGGGCCCAGCACTGTTACTGATGTTCCAGCCCCTCTGGGTTTGAAGTGGGATCTTTCCTCCCCACCCCCCACCTCCTGAGGGGATTGAGTAAAGGGTCGGTGAGGTCTGGGTCAGCCCTTGTATCCCAGGGAGCATAAGTCATGTCCCCACCTCTCACTGCAGGAGGAGGAACCGGACCCAGGGAACCTGGAAGTGGACCATGATTTCTTCCAGGACAAGGTGTGGCCCCCTTTGGCCCAGAGGGTACCAGCTTTTGAGACTCTGAAGGTAACTAGGAGGCACGTGAGCCTGGAGCACCTCGGTCCCCTTGGAAAGCCTGTCCACTGCCACACGCCCTCCACCTCACAACTGCTAAGGACTCGTGGTCTAGGGGCACATCCCATCGACCCCTCAGCAGCTGGAGGACGCTGCTGCGTCTGACCCCTGGGCAGGAGTGAGGGTGGCACGTGTCGGCACTTTCCTGGGAACCCCAGCGTCCTGTCCACCTGCAGGTTCGGAGTGCTTGGGCTGGCTATTACGACTACAACACCTTCGACCAGAATGGTGTGGTGGGTCCCCACCCACTTGTCGTCAACATGTACTTTGCCACGGGCTTCAGTGGCCATGGGCTCCAGCAGGCCCCTGCCGTGGGGCGAGCTGTGGCAGAGATGGTGCTGGATGGCCACTTCCAGACTATCAACCTGAACCCCTTCCACTTCAGCCGCTTTTACTTGGGAGAGAAGGTCCAGGAGCACAACATCATCTGAGCCTGTAAGCTCTTCGCTGGGCCCCGCTGCCCCATCCGTGACCCTTGGCTCACATTCACATCCTCCTCACTGTGGCTTCCTCCCCAGCACCAAGCCAGGCTCTCCTCCATCCTCCTGTCCCCGTGGGGCTGGGCAGGCAGGCCGACTGTAGGCTTTGAGAGGCACTGTGCCTTAGGCCCAGGCCAACAGAATGATGGGGTGAGACCCCAGGACTGATCTCTGGCCCAGGCCAAGGCCGCCCACCAAGGTAGTGCAGCTGGGTGGAATACCTGAGCACGTGCCCCAAGACTGGCGTCTTTCTGGTACTGACCCAGAAAGATTGCCTCTGCCTGTCTTTGGCAGGCTCCAGCAGAGCTCAGGCAGGGGGCATTGCAGGGCAGCCTGGCCCAGATTTAGTGATTGTTTACCTTTTTCATCAGTCAATAAAATGTGATTACTTTTTCCATCCAGGCCTCTGTCCCTTCTACTTTCACCTCCTGAAGCACCCACTAGCCTTTCACACCAGGCTGGGAGGAGCATGGCCTTCTCCTCCCAGGAACATTCTAAAGTCCTCCTTATAGGCATCTTGTTTGCACACGAGTGCCTCCTGTTCCTGAGTCCCTGCAGGGTTTGGTTGTAGAATGTAGGGAAGGCTTCATTCATTTATTCACTATTTATTCAGCTCCAGCTCTTGGCCAGGCCCAGGGTTGCATATTAGGGATATACAGCAAACAGGCATACCGTATGTCCTCACGGGAGTGTTCTTATCTCTGCCCTGCCCTTCAGCCCAGATCAGATGTAGTGCCGTCCCGTAGTGCCGGGAATAAGCACAGGTCACGGACACCTCGTCTCACCTGGGTGTTTCTCCATGAAGCTTCTCAGGGAAGTTGTCCTCTGAGCTGAACCTACAGGACGAGCAGTTTAACGAAGTGAATGCACAGAGGGGAAGCGGGGAGGAGAGCGAGGACGGGGGTTATTGCAGACTTCAGGAAAACCATATGCAAATGCCCAGGACCAAGGGTTAGTAAGATTCAAGGGACAATAAGAGATTTGTCCAGGTGAGATCATGGAGGGAAGGAAGAGAGGCAGTAAGAATCGGGGCAGGGCCAGGAGCCAAAGAGCCATGCTGTGGCGCTTGGGTTGTGTTCTGTGGGCTTTCAGTAGAGAAGCGACATGCTCCGATTTTCCTTTTAGAAAAATCACCCTGACTGCCTTGTGGCGAATAGACTATGATGTCAAAGCAGGAGGGCAGATGGGAGGCTGTCACTGCGTCCACAGGGCAGACAGCAGGGCCTGCACTTTCAGGGCAAGAAGCATGTGTGTCCAAGAAGTGACAGTAGTCACAAGAAGCGGGGTCAAGTAAGACTCAGGTTTTTGGCTTGGACAGCTAGATGTATGTCTTGCCTTTCACAGAGGTGAGGAACACCAGGGAGGAGCAGGGTGAGGGACAAAATGAGTGGTACAGTCTGGGACATGTTGAGTCAAGGGTGCGTACAAGGACATCGGATAGAGCTGTCTAGCTGGGAGTTGAAGGTACTGCTGGGCACACAGGATGACCTAGGCTGTAGAGATATGGATACCATGGAAGAGAATGGCATCCCCCCACAAGGGGAGAAGAGAAGGGGGCCAAGGGGGGGAAGCCAGGGGGGACCCCACTGTCATTTTAAGGGATGAACGAAAGGAGAGGAAACCGAAGAGGTGGCCAGAGGCAGGAGAAAAGCCAGGAGCGTGAGGTGTCCCAGGAACCTAGGAGTGGTCAGCGATATCCATGCATGCTCGCAGGCTGGATCAGTACCAGGTAGGTCGGTGGGGCCCCCACGGAGAGCGGTTCTGGGAAGAAATGTACCTCGGTGGGGTCCAAGGTGACAGTTGTTCAGAAGGGAGAAGTGAATGGGAGTAGAGACAGTTAGTAAAACGTTCATTCCCCCTCAAAAGCAGCCTTTGGGGAGAAGAAGGGAAAAGATGGGCCCGACTGATTGTCAGCTGTGTGAGGGAGGGCGGACCGGGGACAGGAGTGGCGCTGCCCCGTGAGGTAACAGGAGAAGCCCCTGGGCTGGGTAAGAGCCAGGACTGATGAGGCGAGCAAAAGAGGAAGAGCCTCGGGTGCTGAAAGACAGGAAGGAACTTGCCAGGGGCATGGGCTAGGGACAACTCAGGCCAAGCCCAACATCTGTGATAACCCTGTAAGCTAGCCTCGTCAGGTGCCCAGTATTCACTCACCCTGCCTTCAGTAGCTACCCCCCTCTGGGGTCAGAAGGAAAATGGCCTTTATCTGGCTCCTCACCCTGAAGCTACTTCAAGATGACAAACACTGTACTCATTTATTAAGAATGCATTAATGAGGCCTCGGAGGAGAGCACTTACCCTGCCATCTGTCTTCCCTCTCAGTCCAAGCCTCCTTCACCTTTGCCCCAACACTGAGCTGTCGCCATGCGTGCCCTCCACCCGCTCTCAGCCAGGCTTCCCTGAGTGCCTGGGCCCTGCGCTGGAGCCCGAGGGGAGCCCTGGCTTAACTCCAAACAACAGGATGGAACAGGGCTGGTGAGGAAAGAGGTGGGACGGGCAGGGTTAAGAAAGCCGTAGAAAGGAGCCTTGCCAGAAGGGGGCGCCGGAAGAGCACAGCTGGGAAAGGGAGCGCGCGGTGGGTGGAGGGAACAGCGGAGGTCAAGCGCCCGGCCAGGCAAAGCAGAGGTGTGTTGGATAAAGGGTCAAAGAAACCCTTCCTGTACTTCCTACCTACTTCATCTCACCTACTCCTCCCCGCAACACTGGGAACCAGGTACTGTCATCTGACCACGAGTGAAGTGAACCGAGACAGGCCACATAACTTCCCCAGGGTCAGAGGGCTAGTAAGTGATGAGCTCTGGATGTGAACCCCAGCGGTCTTGCTCCAGAGCCGCTCCAGAGCCCTCGTGTACAGTCCGAGACCACACTGCCTCCCAGGATTAGCCACTAATTCGCTCTGCCGGCTGGTGAGAAACGTAGGAAATCAGACTGAAAGGGAGATCATGAATCATGAATCTTCCATCAGTCCTATTAAACTAGCTGCATCGTCCAGCATTTGGGAGGAATGTTTCCCAAACTGGCATGCCATGGAACACTGCTCAGGAAGATACTGGTATTTCTACTACGCTGAAACAAGTCGGGGAAAGGATACGTGTTGTCTTCCCTCCACCCTCCACCCCCCACCCCGTCCTGGTGCTTCACAAAGCTCATCAGCAAGCGGGCAGGTAAAGAAATCCTGCACTTTAACCCAGGACTCAGCTAATGTCTTGCTCATCACTTTTGTGCAGCAGGGAAGCGCGGGATTTGGCATCGGCTTCCAACACCGGCCTCAGTTGTGTCCCCCCTCAACCCCCGCCCTGCCCCATTTCTGCGGTTGAGAGCCCCGCTACCACCTGCCATGTGGACTTTGGACAAGTCTTAAATCTACACTTTTTTTTTCTTTTCTTTCTTATTCCGCCCCCCCCCCCCCGCCCCAGGCCGCGCATGGGGGAGGAGTAGAGGGAGAGGGAGAGAATCTTGAGCAGGCTCCACGCTGAGCAGAGCCGCACCCAGGGTGGACCTCAGGACCCCGAGATCACGACCTGAGCAGAAATCAAGAGTGGGAGACTTAACCGATTCAGCCACCCAGGCGCCCCTCCACTTTAACCGTAGAAAAAGAAAAATGGTTACAATGGCTGGCCTTGCAGGTCGTTAAGAGAATTAAATGAATGGAACAAGAGTTTCTTTCCTTCTCCCCGACCCAGAACAAAGCCGAGGCTTCAGGCTGTGCGCGTGGGTTTCGGGGGACGCGGGAGCACCGACTCTTCTCCAAGTTTCTGCGGGTTTGCCGGCTCCGGAGCTCCCAGGGCCCCGGGGGCGGGGCGGCGAGGGGGAGCACCGGGGAGGCGCGCTTCCCAGGCGGGGCGGCCGGACGGCCGGCC